AAGAAGAATTTTTTTGTTCTTTTGTCTATGCGTCAAATTTTGCAGAAGAGAGAAAAAGTTTATGGGAAGAGTTACGTGATCATAACGACTCCCCGATAATTCGCAGCAAACCATGGATCATTTCTGGTGATTTTAATGTGATACTAGATTCGGAGAAACATTCCAATGGTGAAACAAATCCGGTGGTTACTAGTGGTATGAGAGATTTTCAACAAATGGTGAATTACTGTGACCTATCGGACATGGCGTCTCATGGTCCCCTATTCACGTGGAATAATAGGAGGGAAAATGATCCAATTATGAAAAAACTTGATCGTGTTATGATGAATGAGGCATGGATTCAGGCTTTCCCGCATTCGTACAATGTTTTCGAAGCAGGAGGGTGTTCGGATCATTTACGATGTAGGATTAGCCTTAATGATGCAGTGGGAGAAATTGTGAAGGGTCCACGCCCTTTTAAGTTTGTCAATGCAGTCATAGATATGGAGGGTTTTAAGCCACTGGTGCAGGATTATTGGCATAAAACTGAGCCTCTTTTTATGTCTACATCAACTCTGTTTCGTTTTTCAAAAAAGCTCAAAGGGTTAAAACCTGAGATTCGTAAGCTGGCAAAAGAAAGAATGGAAAATTTGGTGAAAAAGTCAAAAGAGGCATATGACTGTTTGTGTAAAAAACAGGAGATAAACCTTACTAGTCCAACAACGCAGACAATGGAGGATGAAATAGAGGCATATAACAGATGGGTGAAAGTGGCGAGCTTAGAGGAGAAATTTTTGAAGCAGAGATCCAAGCTCCATTGGTTGGAGATCGGGGACCAGAATAACAAAGCTTTTCACAGGGCGATTCTGACACGACTTGCGCAAAATACTATCCGTGAAATTCAAAGGCAGGATGGAAGTGTCACGAAGGATAAAGAGGAAATCAAAGCAGAGGCTGAGAGATTTTTTCTAGAATTTCTACAACTCATTCCTAATGACTATGAGGGAGCAACGGAGGATGAATTGAAAACGTTGCTGTCTTTTAGATGCTCATCGGAGGAACAGGGAATGCTTACTAGTGAGGTCACTAAGGAAGAGATAAAAGGAGTTCTGTTTGCCATGCCAAAAGATAAGTCACCAGGTCCAGATGGGTTTACTACTGAATTTTATACTGCAGCCTGGGATATAATTGGAGAAGAGTTTGTTTTAGCGGTCAAATTTTTCTTTGAGAAGGGTTTTTTACCAAAAGGAGTCAATTCTACAATCCTTGCGCTCATTCCCAAGAAGTTGGAGGTGAAAGAAATGAAAGATTACAGGCCAATATCGTGTTGCAATGTGATCTATAAAGTCATCTCAAAAAGCTGCTACCAAAATTCATCGCTGGGAATCAATCGGCGTTCGTACAAGATAGACTCTTGATAGAGAATCTACTTTTGGCAACGGAGCTGGTTAAAGACTACCACAAAGACTCAATTTCGGGTCGTTGTGCCATAAAAATAGACATCTCAAAAGCTTTTGATTCTGTTCAATGGTCTTTTCTAAAGAATGTTCTTTCTACAATGAATTTCCCTCAAGAGTTTGCGCACTGGATTATGCTTTGTATCACTTCAGCCTCATTTTCGGTTCAAGTAAATGGGGAACTAGCAGGCTATTTTCAGAGTTCTAGAGGTTTGCGACAAGGTTGTTCACTCTCCCCTTATCTTTTTGTCATAAGCATGGATGTTCTTTCTCGAATGTTGGATAAAGCTGCTGCGGCTAGACAGTTCGGTTTCCATCCAAAATGTAAGCATCTTGGTCTAACACATCTTAGCTTCGCGGATGATATCATGGTACTTTCAGATGGTAAAGTAAGATCCATAGAAGGGATAGTGCATGTTTTTGATGAGTTTGCCAAAAAATCTGGTTTGAGAATTAGTATGGTGAAGTCAACCATCTACATGGCAGGATAACTAAATACATCTCACCTAGATATTCAAGAACAGTTTCACTTTGAGGTTGGTAGTCTCCCAGGACGATACTTAGGCCTTCCCTTACTCACAAAACGTCTCTCCGCTGCAGATTACAGCCCTCTTATAGAGCAAATTAAAAAGAAAATCAACTCTTGGACAGCACGGTATCTGTCGTATGCAAGACGTCTCAACTTGATCAGCTCAGTCATTTGGAGTTTATGCAATTTTTGGTTATCCGCTTTTCGACTACCAAGAGAGTGCATATGGGAAATTGAAAAACTTTGCTCATCTTTTCTCTGGTCAGGGACAGAACTGAACTCACGTAAAGCCAAAGTAGCCTGGAATGATATATGTAAGCCCAAAACAGAGGGGGGGGGGGGGGCTTGGATTAAGATCTTTAAAGGAAGCAAATGATGTATGCTGCCTAAAGCTTATATGGAAAATCGTCTCGCACGGGATTCACTATGGGTCAAATGGATAGAGAAGTATTTGGTAAAGAAAGAAACATACTGGTCTGCTAAGGAGAACACAACAATGGGCTCTTGGATGTGGAAGAAATTACTAAAATTCAGAGCATTGGCAACAAATTTCTGTAAGGTGGAAGTGAACAATGGCTTAAGTACATCATTTTGGTTTGAAGACTGGTCAAGCATGGGCCGGCTGCTGGGAGTAGTGGGAGAAAGAGGTATGATTGATATGTGTATAAGCAGAAATAAGACAGTGGCTGAAGCTTGGGAGGGTCGACGCCGTCGTCGACATCGGTCCGGTCTGCTAAATCAAATGGAAGAAGAGTTGGAAACTAAAAAACAGAACATAAATGATAAAGAGGACACAGTTCTATGGAGAGGTAAAAATGATGTATACAAAGCTAGCTTTTCAACAAAAGACACATGGCACATGACTCGCACTGCGGTAACCAAGGTCAGTTGGCACAAAGGAGTTTGGTTTACCTATGGAACGCCAAAGTTCTCTTTCTGTGTTTGGCTGGCTGCTTGGAATCGTCTCTCCACCGGAGACAGAATGCTTCAATGGAACAAAGGTGCGTCGGCGACTTGTTGTTTCTGCAACACTGTTACAGAAACCCGTGATCATTTATTTTTGGGTTTGTTGGGAATATAGTACGTTTACGAAACTTAATTGGAAAAGTAGTACAGTTACTATTTATAATTGTAGAAACAGTACATTATTCATATTTGTGTAATAGAATTTGTGTGAGATAGGAGAGAAAGTGGGATAGAGTGTAGAGAATGGAAATTACTAGTAGGGGCTTTGTATTTGTGAGAAAGAGAACGTGGGTCATGTTTTTTTTTTAAAAAAATTTCTTTTCTTTTCTCTATTATCTCCTATTCCCCCAAAGTCTCATAATTTAAATACTCGTTAGTAAATTTTTTGTTTCTAAAATTTATCAAATACATAAAAATCTATGTTTTTTTCTCTATCATTTGATATGCATTTTGTTTAAATTTTTTTAAAAATTTATATTATAGACTATTGTATACAAAGAATGACTGTACAGATATAGACAACTGTACAGAAGAATGACTATACAGAAAAATGACTGTACAGAAGAGTGACTGTACAGAAGAATAACTGTACAGATATAACTGTACAGATATAAACCACTGTACAGAAGAATGACTGTACAGATATAAACCACTGTACAGAATGATACATCTGTACAGCAGGATACAACTGTACAGAAGTATAAATCTGTACAGCAGGATACATCTGTACAGCAGGATACATCTGTACATCAGGCTTTTAAACAGAATAAGCAATAGGAAACAAAGACAAAGTCTATAGCTTTATAAAGTAAAACATGACAATACAATCAAAACCATCCCAGATTAGCTTGACAACAACATTTCCAAGAAACCCATCTGATAAATTCACTGTACAGAAGAATAACTGTACAGATATAAACCACTGTACAGAATGATACATCTGTACAGTAGGATATATCTGTACAGAAGTATAAATCTTTACAGAAGGATACATCTGTACAGCAGGATACATCTGTACAGCAGACTTTAAAACAGAATAAGCAATAGGAAACAAAGACAAAGTCTATAGCTTTATAAAGTAAAACATCACAAAGAATGATTGTACAGATATAGACAGATATAAACCACTTTACAGAAGAATGACTGTACAGATATAAACCACTGTACAGAATGATACACTGTACAGCAGGATACAACTGTACAGAAGTATAAATTTGTACAGAAGGATACATCTGTACAGCAGGATACATCTGTACAGAAGGATACATCTGTACAACAGCCTTTAAAACAGAATAAGCAATAGGAAACAAAGACAAAGTCTATAGCTTTATAAAGTAAAACATGACAATACAATCAAAACCATCCCAAATTAGCTTTACAACAACATTTCCAAGAAACCCATCTGATAAATTCACTGTACAGAAGAATGACTGTACAGCTATAAACTATTGTACAGAATGATACATCTGTACAGCAGGATACATCTGTACAGCAGGCTTTAAAACAGAATAAGCAATAGGAAACAAAGACAAAGTCTATAGCTTTATAAAGTAAAACATGACAATACAATCAAAACCATCCCAGATTAGCTTGACAACAACATTTCCAAGAAACCCATCTGATAAAGCTATAGACTTTGACGATGTACATCTGTACATAAGGATTTGACGATGTTTGATAGTTTTTTATTGGTTTTTAGTTTCTAGTTTTTGGATTTTGGTTTTTGGTTTTTGATTTTTGTAATTTTTGATTTTTGGGGTAGATTTTAGTTTTTGCAAAATCTTGAATGGTAATTTGTTTGGTTTATAGTTTTTTACATAATATCAATTTTAAAACGTTTTTAAGTTATTTATTTTAATTTTTGGTTTATATTTTGAGATTAAAATGAATAGGTAAATGGTGAAATAACATATTTAAAATAATTAAAAAAAAATTTAAAAAAAAACAGTTTGACGTAAATTGTTAGAAAACCCACAAAACTTGGTTTTTGGATTCTATAAAAAAATAGACAAAATCTCCGAAAATTTTGTTTACCTATTTTTTCCAAGATGCAATTTCTCTTCTTCTTACCAATCTGGACATCCTCTTGCCACTTCTCCTTTCCATTGGAATATCTCTGATAGCTCTCCCACTTCACCCACCTGCAACATTTTCCATACTCCTTAAGCTCTCTTCATTTTTCTCAATTCACTTACTAAATCTTTTCTAAAACAACAAAATACACAAGCAACATATAGTTTTGACCTTTAATTCTGACTATGTTGACTAGATTGTAGGGCATAGAAGGTACATATGGCCGAATCAAAGTTGAACACTTTACATAAGAAAAGGGACAATTGTCCCATGTTTTTGTCATTGTTTACGTCTTCAGATCTATGAGTCTTCCAATTCCAAGTTACAATCAAATTCCAAATTATACAGCCAAAACATAGCAAGTCACAATATATATTTGTTTTAGTTACAAAAAGATTGAAACTTTTCATGGAAACAAAACATCAAATTAGAGAAAAAAAGATCAGGAGAATAAAAGAGAAAACCCAAATCAGATATCAGATTTAATAAAGAAAAAAAGCCAACTTTTTTGTTTATCAGACAATCAAATAAAAACAAGACCCATTTCAATTTTCATAAGACATGATTGATCGTTCCAAGAAAATACCATCGCAAGAAGGAGATTTCTTGGGATGTGATACTTCTCCCAATCTCTAGCTTTTGCAAAATCATCCATTTTCTTACTCAAAGTTTCAAGAGAAACCTCTTCTTCTCGATACTAAGATTCATACAGAGAAAAAACATAAACATTGAAAAAACTATGGAGGATCTGAAGCAAACAAGCTTCGGATTCAAAGCTTTTCTCCAGAATCAAAATCCACCGATTCAAGTCGCATCTTCCAAATCCACCATCGATCTGGAGCCATGACAAGATCCGCCGCAGGCCACGGCGTCCTCCGGTACCGACAACGGCAACGGTAAGATACGCTACCGTTCGGCTTCTTCCACTGAGCTTCTGGAGTCTGGAAACCATTCTCCTACATCTGACTCTGTTGACGGAGGTAATAAGACGGCGAAGCGTGAGATTGGACGGCATGAATCTCTTGTTGATCCAACGCCATCGTGGTCTTATTCTTGTGATTTCGGCTCCCGTTGTGTTGATCGGGCTTGTTCTTCTGCTAATGCCTGGGAGATCGACTTCTGATTCGGTCGTTGGAGAGTATACGGTGCATAATCGCAAAGGAGGTCCTAATTTATTTTAATCTCAGTGGCATGATTGTAAATAAAATAGTTTGTTGAGGGTTTGGAAGTCAGCCAAACAGTAGTGCACAATAAAACATGGGGATTTTTCCAATTGTGAATAGTCTCTGTACTACTTTTCAAATTAAGTTTCATAAACGTACTAGTTTGCAACTTATTCCTTTATTTTTTGCGTGTGGTTTCATCTCTCCAATCTGGGAAGCTCTAGGACGAAAACTCTACAAATCTCGATTCTCTTATGACTGGCACTCTCTCCTTAACACTATCTCGGCAGGTTGGCACGATCGAACAGAGAGCTTTGTAGCTCACTATGTCTTTCAAGCCACCCTCTACACCATCTGGCAGGAAAGAAACGGAAGAAAACATGGTGAAACACCGAACCCAGCTCCTCCTTAATCAAATGGATTGACAGGCAAGTGCGAAATAGATTATCCTCAATTCGGAAAATAGGGGATAAACGTTTCGACAATGGCCTCCAGGTCTGGTTCCAAGCTAGAAGTTAAACCTATCATAATTCAATCTTATTCTCCTTTCAGCTCACGCTTAAGCTAAAGTTGCACTTATTGTAAAAAAAGACATTTTTTCTTTTGAAATTAATTTAACATTTGATTCAAAAAAAAAAAATATTACTATATATTTTCGAATTCAAATATGAAGAGAGAAGTACGGATTTAAAGCCAAAATTGTACTATTATTTAACGAATATAAATCCTATATTTATGAAAGATATCATAAATAGATTTGAGAGACAAGAAAATCATGAAGATATGATATATCAACAAAAAAAAATAAACTATTCAAATTGAATTTCTCTGTTGGCCACTTTACATTATGTCTCAACCAACAACAGAACACCTAGCTGTCAAAAAAACCCTATAAATATAACAACATTCTCAACACAAACTATCTCTCAAAAGACACTTTCTAAACAATATAAAGGAAAAGTCTCACATTCTCTCTATCAATTAAACATGTTGCTTGTAGCGTTTGTGACTCTTTTGGTAGCAGTAGCTTTGCAGCCGCTAACTTCAGTGGTGGCTTTGGACGTTCACCTTCTTCGGCAGCTAGCCGCGAAGCACAATGTGACATCAATACTTGTGTTTGGAGATTCTAGTGTCGATCCAGGAAACAATAATTTCATTAAAACCGAAATGAAAGGAAATTTCCCACCTTATGGTGAAAATTTCATCAACCATAAACCCACCGGTAGATTATGCGATGGATTACTCGCTCCCGATTATATTGGTAAGTTTTATACTATAGTATTTATATTAGTCAGAAATTTTCAATATGTTAATTGAAGAATTTATTTTACATTTTTTTTTTCCCAGCGGAGGCCATGGGTTACCCTCCCATACCGGCTTTTCTTGATCCAACTCTAACCCAAGCTGATCTAACTCGCGGTGCAAGTTTTGCCTCTGCTGGTTCTGGCTATGACGATCTCACAGCTAATATATCAGTAAGTCTTAACATTTTTCCTTTTACCTTCTAGTAAAAACATTAAGTTTAAATTCTCTTTTCACACAAAACCGAACTAAACTTAATATTTTTTGTTGGTTGAACAGAACGTGTGGAGTTTCACTACACAAGCCAATTACTTTTTGCATTACAAGATTCACCTGACTAAATTGGTCGGTCCAATAGAGAGCTCGAAAATGATAAATAATGCGATATTTCTTATGAGTATGGGATCAAATGACTTTCTTCAAAATTACTTAGTCGATTTTACTCGACAAAAGCAATTCACGGTAGAGCAATACATCGAGTTTCTCTCCCACCGTATGCTTTACGACGCCAAGGTATGTTTACCTCTCCACTAAACTCTCGTTTACGTATGCATTATGTATATACACGCTAACTATATTATAGATATAAGTCTATATATATAATCATATATGAGATTTTAGCAAACAAAAAAAAAAGATACATGTTTCACTTTTTTTTGTGAAGAAAACAAATTATACAGTATTTTTCACTATTGCATGAATTAAATTGACTATAAAAAAAAAAAGAACGTGTCTCTGTGTGTGAAATTAATAGTAGCTGCTAAAATAAATGCGTCGGTAACTAGTGGAATTGAAAAATTCTACAAATATCTTGTGTATGTGTATGTATGTGGCTCGTGATAATTAATTACAAAAGAAAAAGTCATAAATTACAACAAAAATAGAGAAAAAAAGAAGAGTGTACAACGAAAATTATACGAATTCTATCTGGTTGTTGAGAGAATTTAATTTCAATACATAATTTCTACCCTACAATCATTAATTTTGGATTTTTCATGTCGGGTCTCTGTAACTTGTCCATGGATCACACAATGCATATCCACAAGTATAAGTAATTTTTTATTTTTAGTTTTAAAAAATTATTTTCAGCATTTACTTTCTTGAACTACTTACTATAAGGTCATGAACTTTGTCCCATTTATTGGGAAGCATAATATAATCATGCAGCCGATAGAAGTGTGGTATTTTTGTTTCATTACATGTATACTGTTTAATTGGAAAATTTGGTTTGTGATCAACAGAAAAAAAAAAAAACTAAATTCTGATTTAGTCCAGCTTCTGTATTTAAAAAGTAAATTTTAAATTGTCAGACAATACTCCCTCCGTTTCGTTTTAGTTGTCGTTTAAGGTTTTTTCACACAAATTAAGAAAAACATTAAATTTTCTGTTTTAGCCTTTATTAATATATTTTATAAAAAAAATTAATTGGCCGAAACATTAAAACAGTAGGGAAAAAACTGGAATTTTCATCAAACATTTGCATCGAAAACCTAAAACGACAACTATTATGAAACAAAATTTTAACTCTAAAACGACAAGTAAAACGAAACAGAGGGAGTATAATTTTATTTTTGTTGAATTAATTTTGTTAGATTAGTTTTGGGTTAATTTGGTATACCGAACCAAAAATAGATAAATTATAATAGACACATGTACATACTAAAAAGGATATGAATTGCATTTAAGTATTATAGTAAGAAAATTCATAGCATCTTTTGAGCTTCTTGTTATTATTTTACAGATGTTGCATAGGCTCGGAGCTAAAAGGTTGGTGGTGGTGGGAGTTCCTCCCATGGGATGCATGCCTTTAATCAAATACCTAAGAGGCCAAAAAACTTGCGTAGATCAACTAAACCAAATCGCTTTCTCCTTTAACTCCAAAATCATCAAGAATTTAGAGCTTCTCCAGTCTAAATTCGGTCTGAAAACCATCTACGTTGATGTCTATTCGGCCATCCAAGAAGCCATTAAAAATCCTAAAAAATTTGGTGAGAACAAATATCTGCTTTAAATATAACTTTAAGATAAAGTATCAAAGGAAAATAATAGGGTCTCATTTATGTTCTTTTTGGTTTTAATCGATAGGTTTCGCCGAGGCTTCACTAGGCTGTTGTGGAACAGGTACATACGAATATGGAGAGACATGCAAAGATATGCAAGTTTGCAAAGATCCTACCAAATACGTTTTTTGGGACGCTGTCCATCCAACACAAAGAATGTATCAAATCATTGTTAAGAAGGCAATTGCATCCATCAGTGAAGAGTTTCTTGTTTAGAAATATTATATATTCATATTACTATCATGATTTATATGAACAATTCTAAGATGTAATTGAAAAAGATTCAAAATGTTAAATTTAATGGTTCAAATCTTCTACTGAGAATAATTATGTGTTAAATAAATATGACACTATTATACTTGTTACTTATAGAAAATTAAAAATATTCTAATTTTAGAATTATAAAATTGACAGTTATAATTTAATAGAAGCAATTTTGAACTCATGAAATTTTATTCCCATTAGTTAATTATATTATAACTATAAAAATTATATTTACTGATAAATTTTTAATTTTTTACTATATTTCTATCAGTACATTACAATTATTAATTGAACGTATTTAAAGAAGAGAAAAGAAAATAATTTCACAAAAATAAGCAAAATCTAAGCAAAATATATGTAAATATTAAGAAATAATGAAAAGATATAGATTTTAAAGTCAAATTTGAGACATCAAAACAAAAGTATATGAATATTTTTACCAACCAAATTAGAGAATGTAATAATACAAAAGATATAGAAAAGTGGGTGATGTGTCTAATAAATATAGGTCACACTACCACCTAATCTTACAAATCATTCTACTCTCTCTATTTAAAGTCATATAGCAATCAATGTCACCTACATTTTCTTAAATATCTTTTTTTTTTTTAATATTTCATGATTCTTGAAAATTTTAATTCATGATTCATAGAATTGTCTACTAAAGGTTGGGATTTATCATAATAATGGACTCATGTATATTAATACATAATGAACTGGATTCAAGAATAATACAGAGATTTGAGTACGAAAAGATACAAATTTTAAATTCAAATTTGAGACATCAAAAAAAAAGTATATGAATATTAGTTTCCAAATAAATTAGAGAATGTAATAATAAAAAATACTAAAACAAAATCATTTATAATAATGGTCATAAGTGATAGATTTATGCCTTGTTCCACCGACTAGGCATGGTTCTTCTATATTATTTTCATAGTTATGCAGCTAAAATTTAATAGAAGTATAGAGATTCAAAGTTGCTTACTTAAAATTTTTAGCAGTTTAATTTTTTTAAAAGCAAGGTATTCTTTTTTTCTCAGTTATAATATTCTATGCATAATGATTCTCCGGCTTGAAACACTAAATATAATATCTATAGATCTTTTTCAACCACTGAACCACATACTCAAATTTTCATATGATAGTAATACATAAATATAATAAATTATTTTAAATAATAAAATCTTCACTACTAGATGCAATTGTTTTCTTAACAACGGAATTTTTCGGGAAAAGAAATATAGACATAATATTATTTCTCTCTTTAAATAAATAAACGTCGATTTTTCTTCCTTCGAATGTTCTTTGCGTGTTATTATCAATCGAGAAAATGTGGTTCGTTGACGATAAATGTTGAATGCCGCCGAGTGACAAATATGTGTAAGTTGGCTCTTTCAGGGTTGGAAGAAGATTAATGCTAGCTATATATATATGGATGATTTCGGAAATGGTTGGTCTGTCTTCATTTCTATCTTGAAGGCACATAAGCGCTATGTTAACACAACATATCAATTCTGTAGAACAATAGAAGCCATCCAATCGTTCATCCACTATGTCTACGCCATTTGTGTCACACCAGGATCTCCACGCCTGAAATTCAGAAAGGGAGGTGTACTAGTAATGTAACAACGTAAATGAAATATTTTCTGAGGTAATGTAAGTACTAGAGAGGGACCGACCGTTTCTTTTTGATGCAAAATCAAACCTTATTAGACCGACTATGTTCATTGTATTCCATCCCATACACATCATATCGTACTAATAATATTGTGTTGTACTCTAAGTCATACATTAAAACTATTATTCACAAAAATTTATTTATTTATTTTTATTATTTTTAGTCTCTTCTGGGCTAGTTTTTTTTAATTATAAAATCAAATTCATGTACTAAATTAAATTAAATTTTAAGATATATGTCTAAATAATTATTATTATATAGCACTGGTGATATATCAAATTGTTTTGATATATTTGTACAATTTGGAAACAAATAAAGTATTCCAAAAATTTAATCAACTGTTAAAATCACAATCAAGTAAGGGAGCACATATATAAATGGAAATATGTATATATGTATGTATATGTTGAGACACAAAAACAAATTATTATGTGTTAACGAAAAAATCACTATCTCTTCGTCGTTGTTTTTTTTTTATTTCTATCTATTTTGCTTATGTTTTGCTTATGTGTTGATTATATTTTATTTATTTTTGTCAAGGTTGTTTTTCATTTTTTGTATTTAAATATTTTCAATAGTTATAATATGTTGATAGATTTGTAGTAAATAAATCATAATTTATTTTAAAATTAATTATTTCTAAATTTTAATGTGAAGTTATTGTAAATAATTAATATCATTAAAAAAAATCTAAAAGAACAACACTTTTATTTTTTTTTGGACATCTACTATTGTGTAAATGCTCATGAGAAGAGAGTATCTCGATCATAATAATAAATTTATATTGTGCCTAACAGTCAATTTGTCGTCGATATGGTATGCATTGTTTTTTTTTTTTGAATTTTATATATATACTATATGTTAATATATATTATGTGCTTACATTAGAACTTCTCATGTTCTTACATTTAGAAAGTAACCAAGTACCAACCAAACTTCTCCTCACACACATTCTTCTTCATTTTCTATGACTAGATTTACTCGTCCGCGCGTTGCGCGGAATATCAACTGGTAACAATACAAAATAGTAAAAATAATCATAATCATTTGAATTTCAAAAATATATATATTCATACTTGTTTTACAAAACAGTACACAACATAAAAATTATCAAAATTATTTAGTATGTACCACGTAATAACAAAAGTAATATCAGATGAATCGGTCTCGGTAGTCATCCATGAACTTTTGTCAAAAAGAGAGTTTATTCCATAATCAGATCTTGTAATTATATATCTCGAGGTTTTGACATAATTGTACCAGATACTAAAAGTAAAATTGCTGAGTTTGAATATCAATTTTATGAAAATATATACACGTAATATTCATGCCGCTTCAATAGGTTTAGAGAGCACAATTTACCTATTGAAGCAAGACAATCATGCATTAAGAAAAGTTTTGACAAAATCATGAATGTCCTTATCTTATCTTATCTATCCTACAACGCTTTATTACATGGTTCAATGATTTAACCCAATGTTGAATATGATACTGTGGTTTACTAAATAAAACTATCCGATAATGCATCAATATATCTGATGAATTTACTTAAGTCATGTGCATACATATATCCGATGCTTCAAGCATTAGTCAATTTCTCTTTAAACATTTTTTTTCTGTCATTTTTTCGTCATCTTCTGTGATGCACGTGTTCGCCTCCCAACATCTACTCTTCTTTTATCTTCTATGCTCATTTACATATAATATAACTTTGAATTCATTCTTAACTCAAAACTATTTTCTCATTTTCTTCTTCTTAGTCTATTTTCTCTTATTAATTATATTATTTTCATGTTTGAGCGTAATATACTCTTATGGAAGATATATATTTATGAAAATTGTCTCAATACTTATTTAGATTTTTACCTATATTTAAATATTTTCACCTTTTTATCTAGAAAGCAAACAATAATATAGATATAATTATATTATTTTAATTGTTATATATTTACTATAATTTAATATTAAGATACAATCAATCTTTCTATTTTTTCGTCAATGTGAATTTATACTTTTACTTTCTTGAAATATTAGTTCTAATTTTAAAAATAAATTATTTCTTATATCTTAAAAAAAACTTATACAATCACAAGTTTACTATAACATTTAACCATTTATTTTAATCTTAAAATATTACTATTTTAAATAGATTTCTTCCACTTCATTATCATCTCTTCAAGTTAATGTTTCCAAGAAATATGAATATCTTCTTATTATTAAAAAAAACTCTTATAGTCTTCCATTTCAATTCAATTCTTTTGTTCATCCTAAATTATATTTGAGGTCTCCTTATTATTCTTAAAAATGATAGTTTTTAAAAGTTTTTTATTTGTTATTTTTAATAAGTTATTATTTTTTGTAATTGTATAATAAATTTTATTAAGAATCGTTTTGCCCATCTTAAATAACATTGGTATTTCTATGAAATTTTCATTATTATTTTTTATTTCTTAATTAATATTTAGTGATTATGTTTATTTTAAATTATATATTAGCAAAAATTTAATTTTAAGTGTTTTATATGTATATGTTACACTTGTGTTATTATTATTCAAGTAACCTTTATCTAAAATTGTGCATTAATTGAAGATTACTTATTAGATAATTAGATGTAATTAACTATAAAATTAAATATTTTGAAACAATTATTGTTGGGATCCATCATATTAATTTGGTTATGATGTGGACACCCTAAGAGGAGAGACAACTCTCTCGTTATATATATAGATTACAAAATACAGTTCACCTTTAACAAAAGAAAAAAAAAATAGAAACAGTACAAAAAAAATTATATATAGTACACTAATTATTTTGCATTTCAAACTGAAATATTAACACATATATAGACCATCATTACATTTCAGCACTCAAAATGGAAGAAAAAAGTGTATCTGTATATTGAAATTAACTTATCAATTAACTAATATTGATCATAATCATATGGAGTGTTAAATAATTAAAATCTCAGAAACAACCGAGAATAGAATCATAAATTGGTCGGAGAGATCTAAATAGATTGAAGTAAGTCTTCTCACTTGGATGGATAGAATCAAAAAAGACATAAGCAGATGTATTGGAACACACATATGACTTTGGGTTACACAAAAACGATGCCTCTAGGTATCCACTTCCAAAACATCCACTGAACACTTCCTTAAACCCTAATATACAAAAATAAAAACAGAAATGTCTTTGAAACCAAATTTATGACTTGCACTGGTTAACAATGGAAAAGATCAAAATCTTTTAAAAAGAAAGTTTGATTTTTAATATTACATGATAATGGAATATTCTAATAATAGTTATAGATCCAAATTTTGTATAATTTTATCATTGGTCCTTTTCAGAATTGTAAGATAGTCTTGGCATTTTATATAGTACTACCACTAAAAACTATATAAAGTTGAAAATTAATAATATACCGTAATTTATACATGTTTGTAAATTAATATAATAGTTAACCACATATCCTAAATTCTAAACTCTACCATAGGTCCTAAAGATCAAAATATATTCACTAAAATATATGTTAATTAAGTTAATAAAATATTATATCCAAATTATTTATTATGTTTTGTACTTACCAAATTTTCTAGGGTCATGAATGACCTCATAGACTGGGTTATAGACGTCGAGGTAAAAGATTTTGGACCCAAGATGGGCCAAACTCATTTGCATGAGGCCCAATTTATTTTGTAAGAGGAAATTGTAGTTTGTGGCCACGGTGGAGAAACGGTCAATGCAACGACGGTTGGTCAATGCTTCCCCGGAGAATAATGTTATAACAATCGGCAAACACCCAATCGGTGGTATACCAGCCACTGTTATCTTTCTTGCTCCTTCTTTCCATAAACCCTAAACCATTAATAACCATATCCATATGACCATATCATAAGCATTTTCTTAAGAAATGTATCTTAAAACAAAATAAACCAGTCTAATCCAAACCGAACCAATACGGACCATTTTGAAATTGAGCTAGCCTAGAAAAGCCGATTTTAACAATTCGAATGAGATCGAAGTCAAAGTCCAAAGTTTAAACAAATTAAATTTTGTTACTCATGAATTGTAAGTGTGTTTGATATAGTAGATTCGAGTCAAAGCGGAAACATAACAACTTCAAGAAAATACTATAATATTTTCCTAAACCCTACACTTTTATGTTTTGTTTGATAAAGCTACGATCAATTCTAAAAAAATCACAAAAGATCACTTATTTAAGGTTTAAGAAAAAAAACATTAAAATTCTAGGATATTATAATTATCCTTAATAAACCTTATAAATTTTTGGTAAGCCTAATGTTTGTGGTATATTTGGAACTTTTTTAAAATTGTGGTATCTTTTTTTTTTGTTTGAAAAGAAGAAAAGAAAATGTACATATCAGGAAATATGAATTTTTACCTGAATAAATTGCTTGAGATTGGAAATAACGAATTGTTGATAAGCTTCGACAGTGAAAGTCTTCCTTCGTATGGGAATTGTGAAATAATTAATGACGAAATCGTTGGTTCCTGCACTTACACAAAACAAAGCTTCTTCTATGTGTTTTTCCATTTTTTGTTTTCCCATTTTAATCTCCAATTTTCTCTTGTACTCTCTGAAATACTCAAGCTGAGTCGGAATGTCTATCACGTTCTGTACCATCCCCAATGAAAGCAACAACACACCCAACAACATAATTAATTAAATTTATTCCAAAAGTATACAAATAAAATGTGTTAGTTTGTTGCAATATATAAATGTTTTAAAATTAGCAAAAAAAAAAAAAAAATCTTAAGATAACGACATCAAGTAGTGACTAGTGATTAGTTATATATATATATATATATATATATATATATATATATATTGTTGTTGTTGTCATTATATATGTTAGTTATTTCTTCAATTTTTGTTGATTTAGACGTCACATTCTAGAACCTAACCACGAATAAACTTGAGGTTTTACTTTGCTTTTTGGATTTAAGAATATGAGGTTCAATTATTTTTTGAAATATTATGGCCCCGAAAATTAAATGATTGGTTTGTTCATAACTTCACACATCTATATATCAATATCGAAAATGTAATATTTCGTGTAAAAGAAAGAAATGTACTCCCATATTTTACTTTTTTTTTTTTTCTTATAATTTGAAAATATGTATAAAGCATCATTTATTCTCAATTTGTAGTCCTTAAAACCGTCATTTAGATTCTGAAAGTTTACTCTATCCTATTTCTTTGGTAAATTTATATGTACAAGACCAGATTGACAAAAGAAAAAAGTAATAATCATCTCAAAAACATTAGTCAAACCATCATATAGACATTTGAGCTTAAATTGAGGTTTGGAAGTCCCATTAGCAGCAATATGGTTATGCATGGCAATAATAAAATAAAGACCCAGATGTATATAATTGATATTTTTTCCTTCTTAATTATGTCCAAAAATAAAAGAGTGGAAAGAGATGGAGATTTCTATTAAAAAAAGAAAAGAAAAAAGAGATTGAGATTGGACTGGACATGGACACTAACAGTAATGGTTGGAGTGAGAGGATCATATCCAGAACCAGCTGAAGCAAAGCTAACTCCACTTATTAGCTCATTTACTCCAAGATTTGGGTCCAAATATGGTGGCACATTCTCCTTCACACCAATGTATGAAGCTATACATAAATGTATGATATTTAGGTTCACTATATATATAATCAATATATTTCAGTTGTATACATATATGAACACTAACCAATGAAATCTGTGACGAGTCGACCGTTGCAAAATCTACCGGTGGGAATTTTGTTTTTGAAATCTTGTCCATAGGGCGGAAAATTACACTTGAATATTGTGTCGATGTAGTTGTTATTTCCTGGATCCACGGTTGAATCTCCGAACACGAGAATAGCTGAAACTGAATGTTTTCTTTTAGGTTTTGCGGGTTCGAGTTTTGATGTTGAGAATGAGAAGGAGATGAAGAACAGGAAGAGGAAGATGATGAAGGAAAAAGACGAAGAAGAATGTGTGTGATGATTTCTCATTGTTATGAAAGTTTAGAGTGCAGACAAATGACAAGTTTGGTTGGCACCTTCTAGTGTATAAGCACATTATATATAGTATTTCAAAGGTGAAAATACAAATTCAATAACCGAAGCGAAAAAATGAAGTAGTCACATTTTAATAATTATATATGATACAAAAAGTATGTAGTACAGTATTTAATTTTGGAAGACGTATATTGAATAGATAATTTTCACAAAACAAACACTAATTAATCTGCGGGTAACGTTAATTAACTTCCATCTGAAATTATTTAGGTAACGCTTTAAATGTTGTAATGCTGTATAATCTCGGTATTCATTAAATTTATGACTATATATATCTTAATTTTTTGTTTAAAATAACTTATTTCGAGCTAACTATTAACGGTACTACATGACTTTATACCTAAAAATGGATCAAGGAATCAGACAAACAATCTTATAGGTATTAGGTATGCATTTAATAGTGACATGGATAGCTCATAATTAGTACACGGTGTTAAATATCTTCTTTATTCTTGTGACACAAATAAAACCTTTCAGTAGTTAGAGCATGTTCAACGGGAGTCTCTCATGTAAAAAAAATAAAAACAATAAGAAGTATTATTTAATGATGAGAGTCTCTCATAAAAGTAGAAAAAGTCTCTCAAATGAGAGACTCTCACCATTTTTTTGAGAGACTGTTATCATTAAAAAATATATTTTGATTATTTTATTATTATATTTCTTTTTTACATGAGAGACTTAAGTGAAAGACTCTCATTGCACATGCTCTTATATCTCTTGTTCGTTCGACTTCTTTATGCCAAATCCCTAATACCTATAACTTTATTTTTTTATCAACACACATATAACTAAAACTATAACGTATTTACTTAATAATAATCATTTCATACCTACATATAATAGGGGTATCAAAGCTTATATTTGGTGTACAAGTATTGAATAAACCTTAAGAGTATGTGCAATGAGAGTCTTTCACCCAAGTTTTTCATGTAAAAAAAAAATAATAAAATCAGAAAATATATTATTTAATTGTGAGAGTCTCTCAAAAAGGTAGAGAAAGTCTCTCAAAGTCTCTCACCACCTTTTTAGAGACTCTCATCATTAAATAATACCACTTCTGATCTATCAAGGAGAAGTCGAGGATTGCTCTTTCAACTTACAAGTTACATCTCAAGATATTATATTCTTGAGGTTTATTCTTATTGGGCTCTTCTTCTTTGGATACTACTTGGTTCAAGTTGAGGTTTTTTTAATTAGTGGGCTTATCTTTACAACTTTTTATTTATTGTGAACCTTTTTATCTTATTATGCTCTAGTTTTCAATTAATGCAAAATCTTAAATAAAAATAGCATAATGAGGAAGTGATACACAAAGTCAGTTTTTAGGAAAGAAAGAATTTGATTACTTATTGTTCCTAAACTTGTGCTCTACGCATTATAACCTCTAATCTAATGGTAACTTATATTTCAAGTGATTTACGTATGATACTAATTAAAGCACCAAAGTATATATACTTCTATAATCTCAAATTATAGAATTAGTAGCATCAACCTTAATAAGGCGGACGTACATTGATTCAATATTTGATAATTAGTGTAATTTGAATTGAGTTAAACTTTTTGCCTCTATCTGTATATTCCCCTCGAACCAAACTTTATTTACCTCCCATAAAAGTATTTTTGGATCCACCGTGACCGTTTGATCATTCATATATGAAAAAGTATTATGAATCATCATATACTTGCATGAGGGTGTTACTACATGCAAAATACTTTAAAAGAAAATTGTTGGATAACGTAAGAAAACTGTTGGATGCATGACGTCAAAAAAACTGTTTGATGGAAATTGTTTTTGAACACACTAAAAAAATTGTAATATTTAAGTCGTTCATGTCATTATTTAATGTTGTTAAAATGGGATCAAATAAGACAAAACATAAAATATAGATGCAATTTTTTTAAATAAAAAATGTAAAAAAACTAAAGAAAGTAAGATGAGAGTTCCTTCTCCAACACTTAAAAATCCACTCACAACCAACACCAAACGACTACATCACTTTCGGTGACCACATGATCTTGCACTTGAAGTAAAAGAAATACTCAATTCCTAATCATTTTAACTCATTAATTTAATTATATTAAAAATATTTGACCAATACGAAAGGCAAAAGGTGAGCAACCAGATCAAATTTGGCGAGAAATACAAATAAGTGAATAAATTTTTAAAATAACAATTAACTACTTTCAATATATGAATTTAATATTTTTATTTTAAGAAAAAAAATAATTCAATTGATTCAGTGAGAGGTTGTTCGGGTTACTTGGTTTATTCGATATGAGGATATATAAGTTCCTTAATTCGGTATTAATTCGGATAATTTGATATGTTTGCTTCAAATTTCATCATAGACCAATAAGAAAATAATAACTAACAATAATAGTTGTAATCAGAATCATCCTCCTCACCAATAAACAATAATAATCATCACAAAAACCTTCTTAAGAACCCTCCACCACTTCTCTTCTCTTCTGAACATAAAAGCCAAGCACATACACAAATTCATTAAAAAAAAAAAAAAAAAACAGGAGAAATTGAAACAGAAGCAAAGAAAATGAGCACAGCAAGATTCATTAAGTGTGTGACTGTCGGAGATGGAGCAGTAGGAAAGACTTGTATGCTAATTTCATATACCAGCAATACTTTTCCTACGGTAACTGTTAATTTCTTAACAATTCTTTTAATTTTTATAAAATCTTTATCAAAATTGATGTTTTAAGAGTTTTTAGTCTCTTGAAGATTCGTTTCAACAAAGCCTAGTTTAGTAATACGAGCTTAGTTTCGTCTTTTGGTTTATATTTCTATATCTTAGTGTTTAATCTTATATTTTTTTTGAGAATTGTAAACGTAAAAACGAATATTTCTCATTTGATACTACTGGACCTAAACTAAATCTGAATTCAAACCCAAGCTGCTGTATTTTGCTATCTGTTTACTTAAGAAACATAGTTCTAAATATGTTTTTTTGATCTATAAATGATTTAACTATCTAATTTACAGGATTATGTTCCAACAGTTTTCGACAATTTCAGCGCAAATGTGGTGGTCGACGGGAGTACCGTGAACCTCGGTCTGTGGGATACTGCCGGTACGTATGATTACTTGATTATACTAAAACTGATTATTGATAATTTAAGTTATAATTATAATTAATGTGGAATTATCAGGGCAGGAAGATTATAATAGACTTAGGCCTTTGAGTTACAGAGGAGCAGATGTGTTTTTATTAGCATTTTCCCTTATTAGCAAGGCCAGTTACGAGAATATTCACAAAAAGGTAGCTTTAAAATCTATTCTTCTTTTTCTATTTTTGATTACGGTAAAAGCATTTGTAGAATAGTTACTGCCGAGATTGATTAATTAATCTGTCGATTAATAGTGGCTTCCGGAGCTGAAACATTATGCGCCTAGCATCCCCATTGTGCTCGTCGGTACAAAATTAGGTACAAAAAGTATTCTTTTATTGGTTCTTAAAGAATTTTAATCAACATTTAGTCAAAAATTCGTTATGGTCTTATCAATAAGGTTTGGAGTAATGGCCCATTTAGGCTCTATCATTTAAACATTGATTTATTTTGTTTAATAATATCTTTTGTTTTTGATAAATGATTTTTATTTATAGTATCTTTGTTTTTGGAAAAATAATGTTACACAAAATGAATTCAGATTTGAGGGATGATAAGCAGTTCTTGAAGGATCATCCTGGATCAGTATCTATAACAACTGCTCAGGTACCATTAATAAATAACTTAATTTGATAATCTTTTTTTTTTTAAAGTAAATATTCTTAATAGTTTAATCTATATAAGAAAATAATCATAAACTGTGATTTGAAAGTGTGAATGAATTTGAGTAACAGGGAGAAGAATTAAGGAAGATGATTGGAGCCGTAAGGTACTTAGAGTGCAGCTCCAAAACCCAACAGGTATTTAAATTTTATACATGTAAATTTAATTACTTAATATACATAGATTCAAATAATACAATAAAATTTAGTAAACTGATTTATTATTATTTTCAAAATTTTATAGAATGTGAAGGCAGTGTTTGATACAGCGATAAGGGTAGCTTTGAGGCCACCTAAGGCAAAGAATAAGATAAAACCATTGAAGACTAAGAGATCAAGATTATGCTTTTTCCTCTAATATTTGAACAAATTTAAATAAATAAAAAAAACATTTACATATACATGTATTTCGATATTTTTTTTTGTTTTGTTTTATGTTGTACTTGAAATAGTGGACTTTTCTTAGTCATCAAAAATTTTCCACCATACATATAATTGTTAAATATCAAACTACAAGATATGAAACAAAGTATATTATAGCCGAGATTTAGGTTATCTTCCAGATAGAACTCAGTACCAAAAAGCCTAAGAAATCACCTTACTGCATTAGTTTCTATTCTCTTTGTCCTGCTGGCAACTGCAATGTATTATGAGTTTACTAGCTAGTAGCTACTACTGCTTAACGCAGGAGTAACTGTACATATGAGCTAAAAGTTAAAAGGTAATAAAATCTGAATTAGCTTGTGCTCATTGTGATTTAATTTTAAATTAACATCAACATGCTACTCAAGACATACCAACCGTTGGAAAACCACTATAGTGAAATGGGAAGTATTCACCAAATACTGAAGAGTCGTACCGATACATGCCCATGCCCACTCAATGAAGATTGCAGAAGAAGAGTTAGCTTAGAGTCACGAAATGAGACATGAATTGAACTAATAAGAGATAATTTATCATCAAAACATCATAAAGATTCATCTCAATGGTTAGGTGAAGTGCTCCTAATTCTATTATATAGGAAAAGTAAAAATAATATGCCTAATTCAAATAGGAGAAGGTAAATTAATTTTATTTTATTTTTATTGCTATAGTTATTTTATAAACAATTGTACAATCAAATCTTTGTGAATATACACGGCGGCTTTCTTTGTTTTAATCTAACTCACCTTTTTTCGTTGGTAGAGGTTAACAAACTAAATATTAGGTTAAATGCATGACATACGTTAGCGGATATCTTGAATTTTTTTGGTAATATATATAATTAATATCGAAATATATTTAGGTGATAATGATAGATTAAGAATTGACGAATTATAATTTTCTCATTAAAAACGCAAGTTTGTAAATAAGATATTTGTGAATATAAATCAGTTATAGAAAAAGAAAGACCATGCACAAATTTGTCTTATATCGCTAGTAGCTAATAATCATCACAATTTTTTTAGAAGATCCAAAAAACAAACAAAAAACAGCAATAAGTAAAGTGTAAACGGTATGATTCAACTAACTAGATCAAAGGAAAGGAAAACTTCATCAAATATTTCCTTTTTTCGATTTATTTTTTTAAATAAAACATGAACAAAATGGCGGCAAGGAAACAGCAGCCGGAAATGGGAGCAAGCCGGAGGAAGGGACAGAGCCAATGAGAGGGAGAGAGCCGGTGGGAAGACGAGTACCGGTAGGAACACGAGTGCCGGTGGGAAGATAACTAGATAAGCCATTGCAGTGATAGGAGAAGAGAAATGTTTTGTAGACCTAAGAGCAGATTGTGAGACATAAAAATCGAGAAATGCTTCCTTTATATAGGAAGTAAAAATACATCTAATCTCGTTGTTGTTCAATATCTCGTAACTTTTCTAATCTTTTTTTGTGATGGTGACTGTATTACTTGTCTTTTATGAGCTTGAAAGCGATTCTTGTTTCTCCAAGTTCAAATTCAAAGTCAGTCTAGTCCTTAAGCGTTTGTAAATTCCAGCAGAAAACAGAGCATAAGAGTATATGCAATGCCAGTTTCTCACCAAAGTCTCTCATCTATAAAAGTAATAATAAAATAAGAAATAATAATATTTAATTATGTGAGTCTTTCAAAAAAATGGAGAAAGTCTCTCAAAGTCTCTCCTATGAGAGATTCTCTCAACTTTTTTGAAAAACTCACATAATTAAATATTATTATTTTTTATTTTATTATTACTTTTATAGTTGAGAGACTTTGGTGAAAGAATTGGATTGCACATTCTCTTAATAAACCTGAAAGAAAGAGAATTAGTCGATGTCTCCAAGAAAGAGAATTAGTCCATGTCTACACTCTACTTCTTATTATTATTTGAATGGAAATATTGTTGATGAACCTTTTCGTATACCTCATTGTATAATTCATGATATGAAAGACAGAGAAAGAACTTGTGTATCATAATAACTGAATTCCACATCTAGGGTGAAAGAGGGCTTAGTTCCATGAATGAGAATGAGAATTCTTCTATATAAAATCCATGAAATCAAGCCCATAATCCTCGTACAACGGCTCAGTCAATACTTCTTAGGTTATGCTCTATTAAACAGACCAATATAAGGTCATTAATTATCCCAAGTAAAAGAATAATAAACATACAGATAGCATAACCAGATTTGATCAGATAACTTAGTATTAATAAATCAGATGGAAGTAGAATGTTTATGGGAATTATATTTTCAGGAAAAAAATCCTCACCACACTATTTACACAAGTACTGTAATCAAGGTACAAAAGACATTTGCTCAAGTGAAGTGACAAAACGGACTCATATAAAGAACAAAGAAGACTCGATGTAGCCCCTAAGACACATATTAATGTTACTCGAAAAACAAAAGATGAGCCAAATTCAGAGAGTACATCAAGCAAACATCGAGAACCTTATCAAATATCGCTCCCTTTGGCAGTAATTCTATTCATCTGCAAAATTATCATCCATTCACATGTAACAACAACCTGCAATAAGAAAATGAAGAAATTATTCACATGTATGTAACTTACGAACATATTAGGTTTTAAATTCTTCACCACAAGCGTTTCGAGTTGCTCCTCCTTGAGTCAATCATCAAACCTTGACATGAATCAAACAAAGAAACGATTGTAGCAGTGATCAACCAAAAGATTTTAACAAAGAAATAGTCCCAAAGATATAAGGAGTAACAATCTCTCTGAAATAGAACCAATTAAGAATCGCAACCCTAAATAACACTTACGAAGATGAAATCCTTCATGATTTGCCCCAATCTTATGCGTTTCGAGTTCCTCCTCCTTGAGTTCCTTCGAGAGAAGCACAAAAATCAGGCACAACCTTGTTTAAATTTCAAATTACGAACATGTTAGGCTTCAATTCAATTCCTTCACGATTTGCGGTGTTTCGAGTTCCTCCTCTTCCGTCTTTTGCTTCATCGACGATCTTCTAGGTCGATCGTTCTAGAGAGATACACAAAAATCTGAAAATCTTGTTTGAATTTCGTTTTCTAATTAAACACACAACTTACAAAACCAAATTCACAACAGATATGATTCTGCCTAATTTGAAATAATACAATTTTTTTTTTTGAAAATGGTTTAATTGAAATAATACATTATTACGAGACTATTTAAAAATCTTTTCTTTCTAATTCTTTCACAGCTTCAATCCAATGACTATAATATATATATATGCCACATTACATAGCCGATATGATTGGATTAGATTATACAGCTTATTACGATATGATTTTGACTATAATCCAATCCGATATGATTTTGACTATAATCCAATCCAATGACTATAATATTATTATAGTCTATAATAATAGACAAAAGTTCCATATGAATTCTCTTGTACAATTTTCACTCTCAAAAATTAAATACTAAATGCCACACACATTTGTTGCCAAAAAATATTTAAAAACTACAATATATCATTAGCACCATTACATAGCCGAATTCAGAGTCGTTGCAAATAACAATTACAAACACTTTGTAACAGTTTATAAAAAATGAAAATGGCAAAAGCAGAAGATGTATCAAGAATGTTGGTTTGGTACATCAATAATAACCGGTTTTGATTGGGACATGTAAAGAAGAGGTAGGTCTGATAATGGCAATGAGTTTATCCTAATCCATGTGTGATCGAAATATTATCCTTTTTCATGGGATTATAGTTTACTTAGAAAAGTACTAGAAATGAAAAATTTTCAAAATAAGAAAAGATGCCTTAGTAAAAGTACTAGGAATGGAGAATTTCATATCAAGAGTAAAACCGCTTATTAGAAAACCTCCGACGAACACTATACTAACTTGATGGTCAAATGGTTTTTTAGATTACTGTTGTGGATATTGATTCTGATTCAACTTTGCAATTGGTTTAATTGTCTTGTTAAGAAGAATTGATGGCCGGTTTGATGGAGTTGGTAAACCGAGATTGAAGGAGCAATTGGAAGTCTTTTTTCGCGAGAGAGGGTTATCAAGTATTTGGGTTTGTTATAAATACCCCATTCTTCTCTCCTTCTCTATATTGTTTTTTATTCTCTTCTTTGTAACAGAAAGCTGACACTCCAATGTTGTGAGCTCAAGCTTGGATCTTGTTTCATCTCTTTGAGATAGTGGATTGCCGAACTGATTCGGCCCCATACGTAGACCTGATCACACCGATCTTGTCGAACTGGGTAACAAACGTGTGTTCTTTCGTTTTCCGCAATTTCTTTCATTGTTTTTGAGCTGATTCGAAGTTCGTATACACACGAGTGAGTATTTGTGAGGTTGCGAATAGTTGTTAATCGAAGATCGGAGTTGTATAATTACCAAAAGAAACTCGAACAAAAAAGGTTGAATGTGATTGTAGTTTGGACCCGGACGAAAACCAAATCTTTTTAGTTTTTTGGAATGAACACAAGTCAAGGTTCTACACAATAATTAGAGCTTTAACTTAGGACAATAAAGTGCAAATTACTATTAAAAGTGCAAATTACTTGTAAAAAAATCAAAATAAAAGCTCAAAAAGAGTTTCACATAAGAAAAGATCAATCAATTTTTATCTCCCTAAAACTCTAATTTATGTCATGCTGGGGCTGAGATACCACGTTAAGAAAAAATAATCACTAGTTTATCCATAATACAGAAAATCAGAAATATATATAGGATATATCTAGTGGGATTATTGTTTAAAATACCATTTTTGGGGAAAAACTTACGAAAATGCGATTTTTTGAATAGTTTACGGATTTTGCCCTTTTTAAACACTTAAAAATGTACGTATTTTGTGATTTTTTTTTGCAAAAATACATACTTTATACCAAATACTAAACCCTAAGAACAAATGTAACCGACTAAACCCAAACATAACGAGTGAAACGCATATTAAATCATATTTTTAGAGCTTGCAAAAAGGTAAAATCCACAAACTATTCAAAAAATGGCAAAATCTACAAATATCACTATGAAAAAGGGCAAAATCCGTAATTAATTATATATTTAGTCGTTAACATTTTTGTTGTAGTCGTAAAAGTTATTCAAAGACTGCGATGGTATGATGGATTAGTTAGTAGTATCAAGAAAACAAAAAGTGTCCAATCTGATCATCATTAAAGCGGCGTGGATTGGCGGGAAAAGATGAGGCGTGTGGCAATGGTAAAAGTGACAAAATCAGAAAGCATAAGTCAAAAAGAAAAAATATATTTGTCTCCCTATGTAATTACTCTACTACTACTCATTGCATATATAAATATGAACCATTTTACATTCATTTTTGTTTAATCATTCACTGTATATGTTTGGTTTTGTTTCAAAAGCTAAATGTAATGTGTCATCCTTGTGAAGAAAGATATGCATGTATATACTTGGAAAGAAATATATACATATATGTGGAGTTGATTGTTATTACATAGTAAATCTTGTAGTTATATGTACGATTGTTCATTCATTAATTATTTTATTGTAATCGAAAAATGAATGATTCATCCTAATTGTTATTTTTACTATAAACGTACGGGTAAACTAACACTTGTCTATTAATGAATATATACATGGAGGCACAATACATCATATATGTACAATAACGTGATACTCCCTCCGTTTCGTTTTAGTTATCGTTTTAGGACTTAAATTTTGTTTCGTTTTAGTTGTCGTTTTAGGTTTTCAATACAAATATTTGGTAAAAATTCCAGTATTATTCCTATTGTTTTAATGTTGTGGCCAATAAATTTTTTTATAAAATATATTAATAAAGGGTAAAACAGAAAATTTAATGTTTTCTTAATCTGTGTGAAAAAACCTTAAACGAAAACTAAAACGAAACGGAGGGAGTATTAAATAGAGACTGACATCGGATAACTGAAAACATTTTTAACCAAGCTATACCTGTGAAACTCTTTATATATTCATTTAAAGTGATTAGTGATATTGTAATCAACCCCAACTTTATTTAGTTAACATTAAACGAATATTTTGCATATATTATGTAAACATATACTAGTTATTATGTGACAAAAGTTTTGTTTTTTTTTAACGTTTTTTTTTAAATCGATTTTGCTGAACCCAATGTTTTCAAGCCGACCAAGATCTATCCTAGAGACACAAGGTTCATAGAAGTCTTAATTCATTTGTAAAACTATGTATTTAGCTCGTAACTAAAACTCACTGATTTCTAAATCTAACATGAAGATTTTAATTAGTGTTTAGAAATCGTTTCAAATTTACAAAGCTTACTTTGACAAAGAAATTTTTTTTTTTACAAAGCTTACTCTTCTACTTTGAGCTGAAATCGTAGTTAAATCTAGTGGTAAATCACTACACGAATTTTTATAATTTTGATCGAATAACAAATGATTTTGTTTAGATTTGTCGATCTAGTTGAACTGTTTTTCTTTTATCTTTGGTTCAAATTCTCTGAGGGAAATTCAGTTACGCCAAAACATTAATGTCATTACCTCTTTTCTGTATTCGAACTCATGAAATCAAATGTATGTTTACTAATTTTAAATTTTCGCTCCAATGTTTTTGTAAGTGCTCGTTTTTGTGTAGAGCTCTAAAAATTGTCTTTGTAACAAAATTTTATCAAATAAGAATGATGCTTGGTGAAATACAAATATTGTATAACAAAATCTACTAACCAATAGAAATCCTTTGTGTGAAATATAAAAACTTGTGAACATTTAAATAATATACTAATAAATAAACAAAGCTGTATGAACGGATTCTTAAATAATACACTAATAAATAAACAAAGCTGTAAGTTTGAGGGAAAAAAAAAAGAGGAAAAAAATGTGTGTAACGGATTCTTTGATGTGGGTTTCATGCTCTATATACGTCGTATTTTTCATGTTTAGGGTTGTTTTGAAATTTTGTGTAACGGAATTTATGGTTACTGTTTTTTTATAAATAAAAAACAGATAAAATATTTATGATATTATCAAAGTTATGTGAAAAAAAAAAGAGAGAAGAGGGGAGATTGTAGCTGAAAATCAAAAGTAAATCTAGAAACGGCAGAAAAATCACTTTAATTCAAAGTCTTCGTAGTTTGTGAAGATTTGTATTTTTCCTCATAGTCAATTTAGATGATGAGACTGAAAGTGTGCCGTATTTGTAATGGGGACAAGTCACCACTTTTGCACCAGTTACATTGTTCTTTTTCTGTCTATTTTCCACATATTCACATACTTAAAGAAAACGGTTTCAAATTAACATGGTTAATTATTTGAGAATTTTCCATCTAATTATATTGATAAAGCATAACTAAAAGCAATCCATTACTTCAGTTTCATTTAATTAATTTCTGTTAAAGATTTCTCTTATTATTGACTAAATATTTAATGAGTAAATATGACCCCTCGAGTCAATCCAAATCCCCATCTTAATTACTTAATTTGTACAACCGATATTATGAAAATGAGAGAAAGAATTGTATGAAAATTCATTTAAAAGTAGATATATAAATCGTATGGTATTTAAAAAAAAAACACTTTATAATTGGTTAAAATTTCATCACTTCATATGCATTTCCTGATAATTAGTTTAAGAGTACGAATTCAATTAATCCGAATTACATAGACACAAAACAAGTGTAATGAACGTACACAAAAAAAAAAAAAAACAAAAACAAAGTTTAATTGATAAAGTAAAAAAATTTGTGTCTCTTGAGAAATGCACACAGTATGCAATTTCCCTTGCTTTTTTTTTTCTTTCGCTCTAATTTTACGTTTTATAATTTCTATTAGTTATTAAATGTAGTAAAACGAAAAACCAAAGGGTAGGTAAAGAGGCTAATATATAACGTGAGAGTAGATTTGCTCTTCTCTCATTACCCTATCAACCCTAAGTAATCTCTCTCAATCATCATCCTATCAACCCT